GGGAGGTGCTAAAGCAGCTAAGCTCTTCCATCTGGCTGACAGGTGAGGGGCCCGAGGCGGGCTTTTCAGTCTGGGACCCTGTGCTGAGTTCAATGGGGCGGGGAGTCGGGGACTTAGCAGTCAGTGACAATGACAATCATGAGATGGCGGTGAACTGCGCAACGTCTCTACCTGATGGCTGAGGTACCACGGTCTCAACTACTGAGCTGTCGTTTCTTCGTGTTTTTTGTTTTTAAGAAGTAGATGGAGTTTGCTGTTGTTCTGTGAAATCACTGTAATCATGAAGGTAAAACCTTAGAGACTTCCTTCCATGTTTCTCCTGGGCAGACTCTCACCGGTCAGACACCGTCTTGGGAAGGCCCGCTCATCCCATCCCAGGGAAGGCGTGGCTGCCTGCGTGTTGCGTGTGGTGTGAAAACCTGGAAGCTGGGTTTCTAGCTCCTGGGGCTCACGGGAAGGCTTCCTAGGCTTTTCCGCTTGCGGCGCGGAGCAAACGGGTTAGGGAATCACGCCCGAGAGAGCGCTGCGCGAATAATTAAACGTAAGAACAAACGAAAGGGCCCGGCCGGGCGGGGCTCAGCGGTTGAGCGTCGACCTAGGATCCAGGCGATCGGGGTTCGATTCCCGGTCAGGGCACATGCCCGGGTTGCGGGCTCGATCAATGACTCTCATCATTGATGTTTCTGTCTCTCTCTCTCCCTCTCCTGACCTCTCTCTGAGATCAATAAAGATATATTTTTTTAAAAAAAAAAAGAACAAACGACAGGCATCTTTGTCACGAGAAGTCGAAGGAGGTCAGGAAACGTCCTTCGGGGGGAGAGAAATCTCCAGGTTCCGTGGGCAGCCCCTCGCCCGGGCGTCTCTGCTCATGTAAGTTAGATAATAGCATCTCCCGTCCCTCCTCGCACAGCCTCTTGCGTTGGGGGCAAACGTTTAAAGGCTCTGCAGGCACATGTTAGACACTGAGTGTAATGAAAACTGATGCGTAAATGTCCCCCGTGGCCTTGAAGGAGTGCGTAGGGTCACCACTGCGATACGATATGAAAATGATGGATTACAGGTCAGTGTGAGCCACGCGGCGGCCGTAGGAAAGGCAACGCCGAAGGACGGCTGAAGGTCAGAGACGAGAGATGGCCAGGAGCTGGTGGGGACAGACACGGGACGGCAGGTTGTGTCAGGGCAAGAGCCGCTTAAATGCATGGTCATAGTAGGGGGTAACGGGCTGTCCTGCTTGGCCTGGGCATAGAGCAAAGAGGGGA